CCCCCGCCCCCTGCCTCAATTTTGGGAACAAGGTAAATTGCCTCTGTATCAAATCAAGACTAGGAGGAAAAAAATCTACAGTAAGGCAGGTCTTCCCTATCAATCACCACCTGACTCATCTATGATCGGTTTTCCCTTTCAACCTCAACACTTTAACCCCAGGCAACGCTGCTCCTCCAGGTCCTTCTAAATCCATCCCAGAAAACAGATTCTTTCCCTCCCTTCTCAGAACTTCCAAGAGCTAGTCCCTTCTGGGTCTTAGATGCTATATACTTACACATTTCTGGTGACTAACCTCATGAAGACAACAATCAGCAACAACAAAAAAAGCAGCAGCTAACACCTGAGTATCAACTGTGTCATGCACTGCCCTAACTGCTATCAATATATTATCTTATTCCATTCCCACAAAAATCCTATGATCTTGTTGGTATTATCATTTCCATTTCACCAATGAGAAATCTGAGGCATAGAGATTACACAACTTGTTCAAGGACACAAATTTACAAAACACCAGAACCTGCGTGCAAACCCACATTATACCCACATTGTGTGGATTCCTAATCTGAAAGATTACAGACTGCCTCTCAAAGAATGGTTCAGATGGGAATTGCTTTTAATCTGAGTCTTGTGCAAAGACAGAATTGCCAATCAAAATTTTGTCATTAAGTTGCCATAACAAAGACATATCTAAGAAAATATGAATGTAGGAAAAAAGTCCTTGGAAAAAAGTCCTTTTTTACAAGCAAGGAAGTTTGCTTTGTGTTTTTCATTTCTTACCTCCAAAGTTCTGGACCTCAGCATTACAATAAATGTCTATCCACAGTGGCTGAAAGAGCTGCTTGCTGAGGTGGTGAGGACCTGACAGTGAAGTGTTTAAACTCAGGTTACCAGGAAAACTTGAAAAGTAGGAGTTGATTAACTCATGACTATAAGAATGGATTAAAGGTCTGGCCAGGTGCAGTGGCTCATACCTATAATCCCAGCACTTTGGGAGGCTGAGGCAAGTAGATCACCTGAGGTCAGGAGTTCGAGACCAGCCTGGCCAACATGGCAAAACCCCAACTCTACTAAAAATACAAAAATTAGCCGGGCGTGGTGGCGGGCACCTGTAATCCCAGCTACTCAGGAGGCTGAGACAGGGAGAATTGCTTGAACCCAGGAAGTGGAGCTTGCAGTCGAGCCGAGATTGCGCCACTGCACTCCAGCCTGGGCAACAGAGCAAGACTCCATCGCTCAAAAAGAAAAAAAAAAAAAAAAAGGATCAAAGGTCTTCATTGAGACTGGAAGCAGCAGCAACACTTAGTACCTAACTACCAGAGAATCTAATAGCCTAATGGACTTGAAAATAGCTAAACAAAATAAATAATTTCTATTTGTAATTTCAATATAGGATTCTGCTTCAGCAGTAATAGAGAAGGGAGGGCCAATAAGGACCCTAAAACAACTGCTGTGGCCAGCTACCTGCCTGCTTCCCACCACCCTGTGGCCCTGTACTCTTCTCCCTTCTTTCCTCTGATAAGTCCCTCCCCTTTCTCATTTGCTCTACCTTACCACTACCACACACTAGGCTAAAGGGATGAGTTAGCATTCCTACTACAGACAAGGTGGTTCACAGGCCAGACTGTGCATAGGACACTGGAGGGTCTCAACAAAACAAACCCATGTATTTCCCATTCTCAACAAACAGTTAAAGAACTCAGCAATTAAATTCACATGCACATTCCTTTAAAATTATTACAAAATTAGAACTAAATATGAGAGAGAGAGAGATTAAACCACAGTATGGAGTGAGTATTTCCTAGGATTATGTGGTAGTTTGCTTTTTAACAGTCTCGGAAAAGAAAACGCTTGACATCCTATTCTTGGGCAATGTTGACAGAGAATTACAGACTCCCTGATTCCACGGGACATGGTGACACTCTAATGCCAGAGTACCATGAAAACAGTGGATGTGGTGTCCACAGTCAATGACACACCTCCTAGTCCCAGAAATTCAAGTCTGAGGAAATCTAATAGTCATCTCTTAGTATCCACAAGGAATTGGTTCCTGGATGCCACCCCACCCCATACCAAAATCTACAGATGCTCAAGTCCCTGATATAAAATAGCACAGTGTTTGTATATAACCTGTGCACATCCAGTATACATTAAATCATCTCTATATTGCTTATAATACCCAATACAATGTAAATGCTATGTAAATAGATGTTATTCTGTACTATCATTCTATTTCATTGTTGTGATATTATTTTTTATTGCTTTTTATTTCTATTCTATTTATTCTATTATTTTTATTTCTGATATTTTCTATCTGTGGCTGGTTGGTTGAATCCACAGACATAGAACCTGCAGATACAGAAGGTCCACTACATGTTAAACCAGGTTAGGCCTGCTCTGCTCTAGCTTTTGGCTAAATGAGTTAAACCCAGTTGAGCTATTTTTAATTTGCAAACCTCTAAACAGTTTAGGTTAGGCTTCTTGGAATATCTCCTAGTTCATGTATAAAACTAGGGCAAACATATGATGAAAGATGCAAAGGACTTTGTGGCAATGCTAGAAACCTAGATCTAAGGAGAAAATGAGACATAAAATAGGATATGGTGGTAAGGCCTTAAGGGTCAGTCAGTATACAGTTGAAATCAATCAGCCTGATGTTGCCAGACCAAACTCAAATTTAGGAGGTAAACATTTCATTACTGTTAAACATCCAGTATTCTTCTAATTTATTTGGAAACCTTGACAAATGATCTATTTCCAAGCAGGACAATTACCTCGAGGGCAAACATCCTGTCCATCATGCTTCTTGATGAGGTGGCATCAGCAACAATATGAACCTCCACTCCTCGGCCAACTAGCTCCAGGGCAGTTTGTTGGATGCACACATGAGTCTAGTAGGAAAGTACAAAAATTGTATGTAATAACATGATAAACTAACAGTAGCTGACAAATGTACAACAACATGATAAAGCAGACAGAGCACTACAAATCATCTAAGGACCCTGTTCTACATCTAGTTTTGCTTCTAATTAGCTAGATAATCTGGAGCATAGAACAGTATCTCTGGCTTTGGTTTATTCATTTGTAAAATCAGGAACTGAATTAGGCCAATGTTTCTGATACTAAGAACCTTAAACATATTCTTAGAGTTCTACAAGAATTTGTTAAAGATTTTGCTTCACGTGGTCTGGATGACCTTCACATAGCTGAATTACTAGCACTCAGTTTTGGTGCAACTTTGAGTTTATTTCTTCATTCACCCTAAGTGTCCAACATGAAGAATGAGTCTGCAGTCTTGCAGACGGAGAACTTAGTGGGAAAACTGAGTCATTACAGGGCACTCTGTAGTAAAGGTAGGCCAAGTTAAAAATAACTTATGACACAGGCAAAAAACACCCAGTTCATATCATTAGCAAATGTATTATACAGATTCCATCTTTGTAAGGACTAACTTGTGACAATTCATTAACAGACACTATAGAGTGAAAACAGGCTTCAACAATAACTGAATCATGTATTACAACCAATGAAAGTACATTTCAATGATGCCACAATGTCAACTTTATCTTCACATGACAAGAGTTTTGGAGAATTATCAAATGACACCTCATTAAAATTAGCATTGAAGGACTACTCAAAGATAATTGTGATTGAGCATAAGGTCTAATGATGATGAACAAGCAAAAAAAAAAGTGCAAAGCCAGCAACAGCACTTGGTACGACATATTTACACAAAACAGGCTTCTTCTTTACTGTGTCAAAATACAGAAATATTGAACACACATCTAAGCCTGAGGAAGTATCTTTCTACTATTAAAATCCACTACTATAAAACTTACCTTCAAATTGTCAAAATCACATTAAATTAATATTTTGATTTCATTGTTTTAATGTTTTTTTCATAATTTTTAAAATTTTAGTTTAACAGTTATTTAAAAGCTAGGAATAAATCAATTGAAATCAGCAATAAGAATCCATTAGTATTTTTCCCCTGTAAAAAGATACATACATCATTTGAAGGACAATGAACTACATGACCTCCAAGGATTTTCTAGCACAAAAATATGACCTAACTGAAATCCTACAACACATATATTAAAATAATGCCTTTGGTGAAAATGTGTTCCAAAAGTAGTAGTTAAAAATACAGGACCAAGAATTAATCAGCTTACATACATTCAAGTCAGTTACACAACATCTCGGTATTTTAGTATCCTCTTTAATATGGGGAGACTACTGAGTATTTAGCTCTTATGTGGCTGTAAAGGACTTAGTAAATAAACAGCTATAAAAGGTTCAGATCAGTGCCATGCAAAGAGTGAACATAATACATGGTGGCTATCTTTCCTCATTATGCCTACATGGCATACCATCTACGAAATTATATTCCACAAATATCGAGTTTTCTATAAATAATATTGTGCCTAAATCATAGTAACAGGTACTTACTTCTACTCCAAATAATACAACACTCCTGACTCCGGGAATCTCTGCTAATGCTGCTTCTACTTCTGGTAATACCATTGAAAACTTGGTCTTTGGAAGTACCAGTTTTACACCTGTTAAATCAATTTCTTGAACCGTGCTCCCAAGACCTTTAGGATACTGTTCTGTTACAATAACAGGTATTCCTAAAATCCGGGCCCCTTGCAACTGAAAAAAATAACCAAACACAAAAACAATTAGCTATACATATATATGTGCATATATGAGTATATATCATGATTCAGCAAATACGACCAAATAAACAAACAAGCATACCAGTCTTTGTCCCACACTAATAATATCCCCAAAATACTTGATGGCTGGTCTGAACCTTTCTTGCATATCACAGCAGAAAAACACAGTGCTTGAAGGTGTAAGATTTCCCAGGGTAGTGAGCTGAGGAGAAAAGAAAAAGAATGACTTAGCACTTGTTATACAATGACAATTATTTTCAGTGGAGGTCAATAAAGGAAGAAAAATGGTCCTATTGTTTGAGTCAGTAAGTCAATTTCTACAGCTATTATCCAAAAAAAAAATATGAATTACAGGAAAAAAAAAACCAAAAAGATGTTCTCTGCATTGCTTTTCATAGTGGAAATCAGAAATGAACCAACCAACAATACAGACATGGTATAACACATTTTAACACATTCACATGACAAAACATTCTTTAGCCAGTTAAAACACATATGTATATATGTCTTCAAAGAATTCATACCATCCAAGGAAAAATACTCATAATGTTAATTTTTCAAAAGTGAAGTTCATTACAATATTAACAAGTGGTTATATAATTAGGGGTGTTGGTAATTTCTTTTTTTTATATCATTCCTTTATTTTCCAAGTGTTATTTAAACAGATTTCCTGAACATTATTTAAAGAAGTTTCTTTATAATCAGAAAAAGTGTTACAATAGAAAAAAATCTGATGTTGCTGCTTGTAAGTATAAAAAGTAAAACTTAAAATATCTGTAGCAGGAACATAAAAACTAAAAACAAAAAACAGAAGCAAATCCAGAATTACTGCTATCAAGATAGAAATATGCAAATGCTATTCTCAAGAATAACTTTCAGAGTTCAAACAAAATGCAGCGAAATGATACCAAGCACACCATTGCTGTTAAATGAACTGTTGTCTGCTTCACAAGGAAGGGACCCATATTTGACATCTCCATTCTTAAACTATAGTTTTCACAATAAGGAAAGTCAATGAATTAAGACGAAAAGTGGATAGATTTCCAAATCTCGTATTAATTGCTGTAGTTGGTCTATAACAATTTGGGCTCAATATGGATCCACCAAAAAGCAAAAATCACCACTAAATATGAGAATTTACTCTCACTGGATTCTTAAAAGTCTGAGGTGCTTTTCTTTCTTTTGCAAATTGCAGGAAGTTCTGTAAAGGATGAGTTCTGGTCCTGAATGAACCACTATCAACACCCTTCCTAACCGCTCCCTTAAATCATGCCTCTAATTATCCTATTTTGCTTCCCCTAAAACCACCTACAGATAACGATTATTAATAATATTCTAGAGGAGTCCGTGTCTGGATTATATGGTGTGGCTGCACCACCAGCACAGCCTTAGACTCTCCTTAGTGTCTCTGCAGGTGGTTGACTCTTTGGAAACAATTACTACATGAATTAAATTAACCATTAAGAAATATTTAATCCTTAATGATATAACTGTTCTAATTGGTTTACACTTTGTTTGATCTATGTTCTGGTCTGAAGTACCCTGGCACTTTAATCTCCCTCTGGTACTGACTCTATAGATGTGTATTAATTAGCCATGCACAATCCAATACCAAATTCATGTTACCACGTGAGAGCCACCTGTAATTCTTACTCTATATATAGGGTTTTCCTACTTTTCCAATAAAGTATGATTAAAATAAATTCTCAAGCATATTATATATTCTAGCTTTGGCTGTTTCTTTGTTTAATTTTTAATGCAAGTATTATGCCTCCACTTTGGTCATTTTCAAAAGCAGTGACTAGGATCCTATATATACATATAAATGCATTGCTGGGAAGGCCAATTTTTGTGCATTTAGGATACTATTTTAAAAACCAATCACTAAATTATCTGTAAACATCAAATATTGACTCAAAAGGCTCAATATCCACATTTTTATAAATTTGAATAATGGACTCCTAAGCATCCACAACGTGTTTAGGGCACACTACATAAAGCAGTTTGCCTGCAGCAGGCCTACTGAAATAACCATAATGCAACTAAGCCAGTCTCACCATTCCACAACAGGTGAGAACCAGCAAAAAAAAAAAAAAAAAAGTATGAAAAATAAAATTCCTGGGCAGTTGCATAAGTGTGGTGGATGCCATTCACTAACACGCTTAGAGCTTACACTTGCTTAGAATTCCAGCTCTCAGATCCTATTTTATACTGTATTGACTACCTCTGTATACATTCCTAACAAGTTTCATTGTCTGGATTCTAAATTAACAGAAGGTTATAAACAGCAAATCAGAAAGGAAACCGCTGGAGGCAGGCAAACTGATAGCAGCAAGAAATGATGGCTGACAGAGAAAAGATTCAAAATACAATAAAAACAGATCAAAACTCAAATAATGCTACAGTCTAGACCTCCAGTGGAGGAGTAACAAGCTGTTCTAACTTATCAACTAGGATAACATCATTCCAGCACACTAATTAAGAAACTGTTAAATTATATATTTCAGACGGACTACATTATAAAATGGTCAAGACATTTTTAAGTTGAGGTGTTTAAAGGAATAAATCCTTACCTACCCAGGAATCCTAAATATCCACAGTTGTGGTCTCCAGTTCTTGCTAGCTGATGTTTCCTGCCCTTCATTTTAGCCATGAGTTCTGGACAGGGGACCGCATCAGATGTGTCATATTAGACACAAATTGAGGTAAAAAATACAGCCCTAAAATCCTCACTGCCCTGCGAAATCTCTCTTCTATAGGAACTTACCATCCACAAACTCAGTAAACAAAGAAACCACAGAGAATACAGTGGCAAGGAATGTTTTTAAAGCAGAGTACAGGTTACAATTTACCGAATAAAAATACCCTACCTTTCATAGACATTCTCCACATGCTCTTGAATACAACGTGGAGAGTATCTATGTAAGGTGTTTAACTTCCAACATCCTCTTGAATGTGACTGCACTTAGTACTTTGCTTCTTAAGAGTAGAGTATAAAGGGGGAAGAGTAACTTTACAGTGGAGAGACCTGAGGACTATGTCTCAGCCAGGTGATCAAGATTAATGTAATTAATGGACATCATGATAATAACATGTACCCTTGATATGATGTGACGAGAATGACCCTCATGACCTTCCTCTTGAAATTTCACAACCCCGTTCCAACAATGAGAAAAACATCAAATGAATCAAAACTGAGGGACATTCTACCGAAATATCTGACCAGTGCTCCTTAAAACTGTCAAGGTTATTAAAAACAAAGTCTGAGAAACTGTTACAGACTAGACGAGTCAAAGGAGACAAGACAACTAAATGTAATTGGTATCCTAGATTGGATTTTGGAACAGAAAAAGGACATAAGGGAAAAGCTAGTGAAATATGAATAAAGTGTGGTTAACAGTAAAGTACCAATGTTGGTTCTTTGGTTGTGACAAATGCATTCCAGGAATATCAAATATTAATGTTAGGGAATCTGGCTGGGCATGGTGGCTCATGCTGGTAATCCCAGCACTTCAGAGGCCAAGGTGGGAGGATCATTTAAGCCCAGGATTGCGAGAGCAAGGCCTAGGCAACACGGTGAGACCTTGTCTCTACAAAACATATTTTTTTGAGACACAGTCTCACTCTGTCGCTCAGGCTGCAGTGCGGTGGCGCAATCTCAGCTCACTGCAACCTCCACCTCCCGGTTCAAGTGATTCTTGTGCCTCAGCCTCCCAAGTGGCCAGGATTACAGGCGTGCGTCACTGCACCCAGCTGATTTTTGTACTGTTAGTAGAGATGGGGTTTCACCATATTGCCCAGGCTGGTCTTGAATTCCTGGGCTCAAGTGATCTGCCTGCCTTGGCATCCCAAAGTGCTGGGATTACAGGCATGAACCACTATACCCAACCTACAAAACATATATATATTTTTATATATATATATATATATATATTTTCTTTTCCTCTTTTCTTTTTTTTTTTTTGATTAGCTGAGCTTGGCGGTCCGGCTCCTCAGGAGGCTGGACCTCTGAGATCCTCTGAGAATGGGAGGTTGAGGCTGCAGTCCAGCCTGGGCAACAGAGCAAGACCCTGTCTCACAAACAAGCAAAAAACAACAGGGAATCTGGGTACAGGAATATAGGAACTCTCTGTACTATCTTTACGACTTTATTGTAAATCTAAAGCTATTCTAAAATAAAAAGGTTTTTTTTCATGGCCTCCCTATGCTATGGTAGTTGGGGGAATAACTTCTATACTTTACAAACAGAAAGGAAGTTTTGTGGCTACCAAAAACATACTGAAAAACTTTAATCATGTCCAACCAGTCCTCCCAAATCCTCACCCCAAATCCACATTAATTCCAACAGGCTGTTAAAATCACACAACTCTCTACATTTCGGAAATTTCTTACTTTGACTCGTGAAGTTCTCTTAAACCAAAATCTTTAAGGTAACTAAAAATATCGCCAGTAGCCAAACTTTTACATGTTGCAAGTGTAAGACAGTCAGTCCTGCCTCAGCAAATTAAAAGTGGACTGGACCAAATGTCACCAGGAATAAAAGCATAGCAACTACAGATCTATGCATATTCAAGGAATATAAACAAATCACATATAAATATACGTATCTACACACCTTCATATATCTATATGCCTACACAGCCCGACAAACACATTTGCACGATACATACACAAATATATATATATAAAAATACAAAAACATGATCACAGCCAATGGCTTCCTCAAGCAAGAGTTTAAGAGATCAGATTCAAGTATAAATATTTTGTCCACTTTCTTAAGAATTATCATAGCTGGGATTTGACCTTAGATTTCATACTCAAAAGACCTTTCACGTCACCCAGCCCCATAGCAAATTACTATAGCGATTTGGAATAATTAAAATTTGAAACTGTAAATGTGATGTTTAAAAAATTTGGTAGTCAATTAGAGTCACAAAATAGGCATGATCTGCCTGGGAGAAAGTCTGGAAGGGGACCTGGGGGATCATTATTTCACTTCCAAGTGTTTCTGAGGAAATCCGATGACCACAGCTATAGTAAGGCCTGGCTCCAATGTCAACTCACAATAGAGGTCTGTGATGTGACTCCCCCAGGTTACAATGATTCTCTTTATAGCACAAGCCTCAGTAGGCATTAGAATCTGAATCCAAATCTCAATGTCACTAATTTCGATTACATGAACTTAGGTAGGTATCTCCAAATGCAATTTCCTTACTATAACACAGCAAGGAAA